GGATTCACCAGAGACAGAGTGGGGAGCAGAATAGGCAGATCGACAAAGTACACTTCTGAGGGGAGCAGCGGGCGGGTCAGGAGAGGTCTGCCTCGCCATGTGGTCAACTCCGGGGCAGGCGGGGATCGAACTCATGAGGAAGTAGCTTAAGCTTCTTAGTGCTGTGCTTTAACCTGCTGAGCCACCAGGGAGGGCCTGTCTTCTGTATCTTAACATTTTTGAAGAATTCAGTCAACAACTTCCTCCCCCTTTTTAATAAAACATTCCTCAATTGGAATTTATTTAACATTTCTGTCTAATTAGTTCCAGATATGGAGTCCAGAACAAAATACTACATAAGTGACATTGCTTCTATTCAAGATGTCCCATTTGAAGGCATGTGTCATGCATTGATGAATGGCAATGAAAAGTTAATTTTGATAATCTTGGCAAGGGGTTGTCCAGTTCTTCCACTGAATAATTGCTCTGTAGTCCCTTGTAACTAGTAAAAAATCTGTAAGGAGATACTTTAAGACCAAACTAATATTCTACATTCAATCAAAATTTTCCTCTAGCTCTAGCATCCATTGGTAGTTCTTGCCTGGTCAATATTGGCTGTGATGTTTGAAATATGATGGTTTTCCAGTCTGAGCACTTTTTCCATGTCTACCCATCAACTCATGGCATCCTATCATAAGGGAGATACTTCTGAATTCTTATCCCCCTAACCCAGGTTTTATCTTTATTATTTTTCTGTTATTTTGTTCCTCACATTGTCCTAGTTTTGGATAGTGGGCATACCTTCAAAGTTAACTTCCATATTTTTGTGACATGTTTTATTATTTTTATTATTATGCCATTTCTTCAAGGAGCCCTCATATTTATAGATATACATATGCTTTTGAAATCATGAATTTACATGTATACCAATCCATTCTCACATGGCTTCTTTACACTCTTCTCTATCCCATATTTGAACACTACTTCCAAGGTAAAAATTCTGGCTTTTAAAGTCAACACATTTTCTCATTTGCTCAATTGTGTAATGCTCAATTGGGACAATTTCATTACTACCAGTGAGTTTCTATTTATGCCTGTCAAAAAATCAACTCATACCTAGTAATTCCACACCTAACTATTTATCCAAAAGAAAGGAATCCATTATGTCCACAAACAGCCTTGTACAAGACTATGTAACAGATTTATTCATTCTAACCCCAAACAGAAAATAATCCTATTGTCTTAAGAGATAAATAAACTGTGAAATATTCAGATAATGGAATACTGCTGTGCAATATAAAGGATCTTGTCTTCCTTTATTTCTACTTCATGCAACAGTATACATGAATTTCCAAAACACCATGCTGATTGTAAAAGGCAAATAGAAAAGAACACATAATACATGATTCCATATGATTTTATTTATATGGCTTTTGAGAAAAACCAAAATTAATTTATGGAGATAGAAACCAAATTATTACTTGCTTTTGGTAGAGATAGGACTGGAAGGGACTGAGAAAACTTTCTGACATTATGGAGGTGGCCAGGGTGTGATATATATGGGCGCATGTATTTATCATAGTGAATTTCACCCTTAATACTTGTACATTTCACTCTCTACAAATTTCCCCTCAATTAAAAAATAAATGACTATCAAAGAAGTTGCCCTTTTATTAAAAATTAGAGTTCTTAATTCAAAATAGTACCTTTCTGTTGTTGCTACATTTCTGATATGCCTCCCTCACTATTCTCCTAGCTGCTGAAAGTATTTGAACTTGCAAACTCTCTTCAGTACAGGTACTTCCTTTTACAAATATACACAATGTGTGTGTGTATCAAATACACAAAATGTTACATAGGTTAGAATTTCACAGGTAATTAAATGATATTATTCACTGTTTATGTCTGACCAATATATAAACTTTAATGCATATAATGTGAAAATGTTAGAACTTGAAACAATAGATTTTTAACACTGAATTTTCAATTATTATGAATTTAGTCCTTCGCAAATTTGATCAACTTAGATGAGAGCAAAAGCAAGCAAACTACAGTGTAGTCAGACATTGCCAATGGAAACAGTTGTTTCTCAGCAACAGTCATTTCAACTAGGAGCTGATTTTCTTAGACTTTCTCATAAATCCTGGTGCAGACCACACCCTTCATCTTACATTCCTAAAAAGAAAAAAAAAAAGAAGTGATTAATTACATATCTAAAATGCAGTTTCTCAAGGGAATAGCACATTTATAATAAAAAACAAATGAAAAATAAACTCATAAAATTAAACTTGGAAAGGAATAAGTATCAGTGTGTCAATCTCTAGAGATTTAAGAACTATAACTAAAATTTAATCCATGCTACTGCAGAGGAATTTTTTGTAAGTGGCAAGTCTTTATGCATAATTTTTATGCATTTAAATCTACTAAAACAATGATTTACAAAACTATCTGCACCTTTATATTATCTAGGGACATTAAAAAATACTGGTGGTTTCTATCCAGCAGTATTTACATTCAATTGATCTGTGGTAGAGACTGGTATTTACTTCCCATTAAATCTATTGTGGTACTAAGAATAAGAATCTCATTACTAAGAGAAAAAACATTCAAAACAGCACATGAATATTTTTACTGAATATATGAATATATGAGTTAATATTGAATATATGAGTTAATATTAAGCACAGAACCCAAAACATCTTTTATAACATTTGTTGTCATTCTTATCTTAGCTGTTGACTACAATAATTCTAGAATGAATTCAGCTTGATTTACTGACATAGTTTAGTCCAACTTGCTAGGATTCTTAAAGCAAAACCAGTATAGATACTTGTAGATGCCTACAAATATTCTACAACTGTGTCAACTCATAATTTGGTTTGATTTTAAAATTTAGACTTGCCTTATGCAAATTAGTAATGCTGTTTCTCAAAACAATAAGGTAGGCAGACTATATGACCAGCAATTCTATTCCTAGATATTTACTCAAAGAATGAAAAAAAAAACCCTACTAATTTGAAAGGATATATGACGTCCTATGTTCTTTTAAACACTCTTTATAATAGATGAGGTATAGAAACAATCTGAGTACAGAGTACGGAGGAATGGACACATCATACACACTTAATACACAGTCCAGGGAATACTACTCAGCCATAAAAAATGAATTACTGTTATTTGCAATGACAGATGGTACAGAAAGGGATAATGGATAATGCTAAGAGAAATGAATCCAAAGGAGAAAGATAAATACTGGATATTTTCATATACATTTTTTAAAAATATATCTCTATATGGAATATAGAGAAACAATCAAAAGGCATAGCAAAATCATGCCAGTAACAAACTCTAGAAATCTGTGTAATTGAGGATGCAAGAGAGGGAGGTAGTACCACAGACAATGGTAGGGGACTATAGGTGGGGCTATGGCCTGGTGCCATGCATCTGAGGAGGTGTGACCCTACGCCTCTGAATCACATGCTGTAAATCAATGCTACCTCAAGGGAAAAAGCATGCAAACTTGTTCTTTGTGAGTTTACCCAGTGAGGTTTACCCATACATTCTTTAACTTTACCACCATTTTTAATTTTTTTTAAATAAGTGAGTTTCATTATTTCTAAAATCTTGAACCTATACTTGAAGTATCTGAAGTATAGTAGATGAGTCTTGATGAGTTAAATATTGCCCAAACATGAGTTCCTACTTTATTTTTAGAAAGCCATTTTTTTGTATTATAAAAATAGTTTGAAATTAATATAATTAATATCTCTTTTTAAGTAACATTTATGAATTCAAAAGTGAAAGCTCTCTTACCACTACCATTTTTCCATCCATCAAGATTCTCTTTATTGTTGTCTCTTTGCCATCCCATTTCTGCACTTGATTCAGTGAACCCCTTGCCAGGGTTACAGTGGTCTGCAAAGACAAGCTTACATAATTGAGTGGCTTGAACTGTGGTTGCTGAAGAAGCAGTCCATTCATTATTGATTGGCTTTCATGAGATTTCTCATAGGCACGTTTATTTTCAACAGAACAGAACAGTCCACCCATTTGAGCCCTAGCGGGAGTCCTCTTCTCTCCCAATTGGTAGTCAGAGCCAAAGTGAAGTGAAACATTAAATTTACCTTTGTTTTCCTATTGTCAGCTGTGGTTTCCTCAAATTCCTGGCCTAACTTGAAGGAGATCTCTGTATTTTTAAAGGTACTTTCAGTTCTTATAGTTATAGTATCCCCTTTCTTGCTGATGATCACAGTGGGTTTGGCCAAGTTTCCCAGTTTTCTGGTAGCTAAACCCACACCTGAAAATCAAAACAATGTTAGAATTATGTTGATCAAAAGAGTGGACCTAGAGAGATTACAAGTAGCCACAGTCTACACCTGGATGTAACTCGGGTGTGTAAATGGCAATAGTATCACTTACTACTAAAGACCTCCCATGATTCACCACCTACTGGATATCCAGGTCTATGAACTAAAGTGTTTTAGGTTTTGTTGTTGCAAAGTAATGTTGGCAAATTTTAAAGATAAAAGTACTTAGGCTAAGTAGTACACATTTTCCATTTTACCACATTTAATCTCAAGTTCCACTGAAAATTGACAACTAAATCAACCCTTGAAAGTTGACCAAAGATCTGAGGCATACAGGGGGAGAGGAGTAAGAGGATGGAGAACTGGAGAGGATAAGAGGGTGGGAGGGAAGGAGAGCACAGTTGACTGTGGTGGAGGGCTGTGGGTGCTTCTGTGGTGGGACGACCATGGTACCACACCTGAGGTGAAATTTTATATTGTGAAAAAAATTAACAAAGATGTAAAATAATGATACTTTATTAAAAAAATAAAAAAGAAATTTGCTAGCTATAGCTTTACATGAATCATTCTAGACATTTTAGTTTATGCATACAGATATTAAAGATGTATTTTTAAATGAGACCATGCTGCATATACTGTTTCATGACTTTTCCCCTCAATAATATATTATGGATATAGAGAAGAATAGAGTGGTTAAGAATTTCCCTCACATCCTTGCTAGAATCTTACATCTGAAATTTTTGTTCCCAAGTCTAGCTAGTAGAAAATAATTATCCAATTACCTTGAAGATCTTTACGATAGATTAATAAAATGATTTTTTAAGTGCAATTGGGAAAAAGTTAGACTTATTAGTACTGTTACCCAAGACTATAGGAATACACAGAAAAAAGAAATGTCTAATGAGGTTAATACATGGCAAAACATAAAAACTAATTATATACAAATATGTAATTATACATATATACATTTATTTCTACAAAGTAAAAACTGAAGCATTATAACCAATAAAGAATTGGAAACTTGTCCTCTAATTCTGATTAATGTTTTGTTGCTATATATAATTTAGAACAATGTTTATCAAACTAAAAGATGACATTTGCACTAAAGACTCAGGACCTATATTCTGCTAATCCTCAGGTGTTCTTATGGGTTTTAAAATCTGGAAATGACAGAAATGGAAGTTTTCATTGGGGCTTTATATTTTGCTTCTTTCTCACATGTAAGGTGTAGTTTATAAATGTAACCAATAGTATGGGTCTATTCCCATAACTTATCTGAGTTTCCCAGGAAAAATGAAATGATTTTTCTCATTTTATCTAAGATAAAACCTTCCTCATACACTTTTGGAGCAGTGAAATAAAGCTATAAGTACTTCAGTAAGCATGATAACCTGAGATCACTGACAATACTCTTTATTGTATCAAAGAACTCTATAAATTTCTAAGCTGTTCACAATTATTGTGCTGATATCTATGGAACATTCTCCAGAGATTGTATAAAGCAAAGTTCATGTACTAAATGCTTGGTGTTTCTATCTTCACTCACTGTTCTAACTCCAGAAAAATCTGATGTTAGTGTACCAGAGATTGAATTCACTGCCATGCCCCATGTCTAGCTCCCCTACCTTATGGATATTCTGATTTAGGACACATTTCCTTTTTACAAACTCTTTAATCTAGACAACCTAGAGCTAGAAAGAGAAAACTAGCTTAGTTAAACATAAAATTTTAAATGAGAAGTTTTCTATTATCTTTAATATATTTAACTCCTTAATTATGAGCTCTTTAGTTGTTCTAATACTACCTTTCAGGAAATCCAGGGTATGAGTTAACTAAATTTCTAAGACTTATTTTCTCCATCAATGAGAATTCATGCACTTGAGTAGCTCTTCATTAGCTTAAAATTGCTTAAAAAATATATTAATAGAATGTCAACAAAGTTATTAATCCCAGAATACAATGGTACTTCAGGCTGTGCAAACTTTCCAATTCCTGATAAAAATGAATTAGAAGGAAATAGTCCCTATAACTTTCTTAATAAGAATTTTCTCAATTAGAACAACAAAGAATATTTCTTACCCAGCGCCTTCATATAATCATCAAAATGCTCACTAGAGACAAGTTTCCAGGTGCCCAGGAATTTGTTGCTCATTGTGATGGATGAGAATTCAATACAATTCTAGGTTCGATTCAGGAAACTGAAATGGAATGACGAAGCCTCAGAAGACTCTTTTCAAATAGGTCTAAGTCATGTGACTTTCAGGGAGACCCAATGGGGAAATGCAGTGTCAGGAGTGGGCAATGAATGGCTCTTCAGCAATCCATCAGGACAAAAGAAAACCCCACATAATGATCCCTTTGGTCTCCAAAAATTTTTATAAAAATCTATGAGAATGCTAATTGAAACTTCAAAATAATTTGGGTTGATCATACATTTTTAAGAAGGGTTTAGATTTGTAATGCTTTGGGGCGGGGAGGAAATCTTTGAGTCATATACCAAAGTATACCAAAGTAAATTATATAAGCATGAATGAATGAATGGGATGTGTGTGTGTGTGTGTGTGTGTGTGTGTGTGTGTTTGGCATCTTGCTCACTCTCAATCCTGAGTCTGCACAATTGAGAATTCTTTTTGAAAAAGGAGAAAGGGAAAATGCCCATGAGCATTGTGATAGCAGCTTCAAATATGTTGTGGGAGAGAAGAGCAGGGGGGTAGTGTGAGGAAGTATTCATAGGTGAGGGAGGCTTGGCATAGCTCACATTTCCTAGGCAAGCCCAGTAGGCAGAAAATTACTGCAGAGAACAGAAATTGTATTCATGAGATGGACAAGAAGACAAGAAGTAGCACTATAGCATGCTCTTTGGCCATAACTGAAGATTTTCATCTAAAAATATTCTAAATCTAAATTAAGCAGTTTCCTAGTTAATGCAGAAACTTTAAAATCTTTTAAAAGAAATCTTTAGTTTTATAAAGAGAAAGGATTTTCTATAAAAAAAAAAACCCTAAAGTATACTGAGAGCCATTATGGGCTAGTCACTGGGCTAAGGGCTTAATACAAATTGTTTTAACCTAATCCTTTCAACAAATCCAGTAATAAATATTACTGCATCTATATAAACAGTGAGAAAACTGGATCTCAGGAGATTAGGGAGTTTGAATAGGGAGAAGAAGGTTCGAACCTGGCCTTGTTCCATGATAACTAGAATGGACAATTATCTACTTGCTTTGTTTTTGCTAACTGTTCCCAGATGTTCTGATCCAATTGCAGAGGATATTACTTTGCTATGACTACATAGAAACACTCATTTTCTACTCAAAACCAAGACCTGAGATATCCAGGCTAGGAAATATTAGAGCACCAGTTTTTGATGAGAGAGAGCAAAGTACTATTCTTGCCTTTCCTTTTCCTAGCAGGTTTTCCTTGCTGGCATTGTTCCTGCCTGTAAGACCACTGGTATTACCAGGTTGTATATATTTAGCACACAAATACACACTCTTCACAACAGTGAAAATATCTCACGGTGCATTTGCTCATAGAAGATAGAATCATAGAGCTCAGAGCCATAGCTGTGTCATAGCCATTGCAGGTATGTGATTCAAGCTGGGTCAGAGGTGTAGAACCATATCCAGTGGGTCCAAGTCTCAGCTTACATACTCAAAGTGGGAATGAATTACTGAATGGAAAATTCTTCAGCTAACCAGTTAACCCAACCCCAAACCTAAGGGAATGTACCTGAAGGAAGTACACTGTATTGGGATTAAAAAAAAAAAAAAAAAGCAGCTATAAGAGAATGTCCTTTTTCTAAATGGATGTGTTCTTTTCTTATCCAAAACATTTGATAAAAATAATAGTGGCCCTCCCTGTTGACGTCGCGGGTTAAAGCACAGCACTAAGAAGCTAAAGCCACTTCCACATGAGTTTGATTCCCGCCTGCCCCGGAGGTGACCACATGGTGTGGCAGACCTCTCCTGACCCGCCTGCTGCTCCCTTCAGCAGTGTACTTCGTCGATCTGCCTGTTCTGCTCCCCACTCTGTCTCTGGTGAAGCCTCTCGCCGCCCCTGAGCCTCTGGCCTGCACCCCAGTTCTGTATGCATAAATGAATTAATCTTTAAAAAAAAATGAGGATAGTATCACTTGTACATAAAAAAAATGTCAACTCTTTATTGGGTGTTTTGCCTAAATTGGGAAGGATTTTCAATCCCTTTCCCACAAACTGAGCTTGATATTCAGAACAACCAATACAGAAGAACTGAATTTTCAGCTATCACTGTATTGCACGTAAAAATAGCCATGGAGTTTGAAATATAAATATGTAAGTGCATAATAGCAAGACAGAAAACTTAAAAATTGGAAGATATTTTAGAGGAAATTTTTTTCTATTTTAGGTTCGCCGGTGATGTATGTTACTATTGGGGTTGGCCAGATGTGCTTGGGTTACGTTGATATTCTGAGGTCCATGTTTGAGTCAACAGCACTGATCAAAGTAATGAGAGAACATCTACATTGAATCAGGCTTGAGACAATTGACATTAAGTCATTCCTGGCTAAGTCATTAATAATCCTGGTGAGAAAGGATAGATAAGAAAAAAACACATTATAACTAACACACATTTAGACTTGTAACTAAATGTTCTTAAAATGGTTACAATCTCCATGTAGTGTAGATTTGTTTCTTCTCCTTTCAATGATTTTTGTCTACCTAAGTTCTCAAGCTTAAACCTTACACTAAAAAGAAGAGCTAAAGTTTCAAACAAAATGAATCAGAAAAATTTGCCATATATATAGCCATGTAACATATATCATGTAAATAGCACCTACATGTCTCTTCAAGATACATGCAATTGCTTATTTCAGAAAGCAATAGTCAAACATTCTATAGGAATTAATAAAGGATTCATGACTTCCACTTGGATACCAAAGATCTGACTCCATACCTTTCACTTGTGGAACTGCAAGCTATTTATTACTATCTTCCAGAGTGCCAGTTACCATTGAAAGATTCTTATAAAAGATCAATGAGGGCCCTCCCTGGTGGCGCAGCGGGTTAAAGCACAGCACTGAGAATCCAAAGCCACTTCCGCATGAGTTCGATTCCCGCCTGCCCCGGAGGTGACCACATGGCGTGGCAGACCTCTCCTGACCCGCCCGCTGCTCCCCTCAGCAGTGTACTTCCTCGATCTGCCTGTTCTGCTCCCCACTGTCTCTGGTGAAGCCTCTCGCCCTCCGCATCTCTGGCCTGTACCCCAGCTCTATATGAATAAATAAATAAATCTTTAAAAAAAAAAAAAAAAAAGATCAATGAACAAAATCCCATACCTTTATGGAACTTACGTTCTATCTATGATTTGATAAAGATTGGAAATAAGATTTTAATTCTAGAGAGTCTGAAACTATTTGTGAAATAGAAATAATTTTGATAATAACTAGCAGCCGTGAAGGTATACCACATATTACTAGGAGGAATAACCAATAAAAGTCACTGTTTTTTCCTAAATAATTAAGAAAATAATTTTCAAAATGAACTTTAGAATTCTCAAATTCAAAATTCTTTAGAACTTGATAAAGAAATCAATCTAATTTTCCAACTGTGGTATCTGGCACTCTGAAAAATAGGGACAAAATTGAAAAAAAAATCTTTAGGGCATTAAGAAATTAAAAGAAAAAAAAGGTGTAGGATTTGAATGAAAAGAAGAAGTTGGAGAAATAAGTGCACTATTGGGACTGCTGCCCCTCTAAGGGTCATGAATTTGGAAAGAGGCAGGTGAGAGGTGTAAGTCTAACCCTAATGCCAAGGCTATAGGGTTAGAGCAACAGGAAGGCGGAGACCTGGCGAATCATTCGCACTTTGGTTTGGACCTTTGAGAATCTGCAACATAAAAGATGAACCAGGAATAGACCTGTGCTTGAGTCAGTTCAGTTTCTAAAATCAGTTTAATGTGGTCTGGGAGAGCTAGTGAGTATAGGGACCTGCCAGAAACAAACATAACTGTTCTTCGAAAGAAGATCATGTCACTTCTATCTAAAATTATTTTTATGGTTTTTCAGAGGCATGGCTAGCCAAAAATAAATGCAAACAAGGAAAAAACAGCAAAAAAAATTACAAGGGATTTAATAAAGCTAATACAAAGAAAACAGAAGTAGAAGATCACAGAACAGATATTAACATAATATAAATAAATATGTGATAGGAAATATAATCAGAACCAAAATCAAAAGTTTTTGAGAAGACTGAGAAAATTGATAATCTCTTAGCAAGATGGATTTTTAAGGTAGAGAAAAAAATTTATAGCAGGACTAAAAATGCAGACCAACATATACTATCACTATTAAAATAATCATTAGAAATATTCTGAACTATTTTAAAAACTTAAATTATTCTGAACTCTTCATTCCAAGAAATTTTAAAAAGTTATTAATTCCTGAGAAAAAACTAATTTACTAAAAATGATACAAGATAAAATGTGAATACTCTCAAATATTAACATTTTCTGTAAGAAAAATCTTGGGCCTCTCTGGTGGTGCAAGGTTAAGTCTCAGCACTATGAAGCTATCAGCAGCCACTGCAGCACAAGTTCGATCCATCCTCTGCCAGGGAGCTAACCCACGTGGTGCAGCAGAACTCTCCTGTGTAGCCTGCTGCTCCCCTCAGTGTATATTACTGTAGGCCTGCCTGTTCTGCTCCCCACTTTGTCTCTGGTAAATCCTTTCACCCCCTGCACCTCTGGCCTGTACCCCATAAATAAATAAAATCTTCAAAAAAAAAAATCTCTCCTACAAAGATACTCCTAACCTAGAGTCTTCACCATGTCATTGTACAGTACATGACTGTAATACTCTCCTGAACTTTCTCCTCTCCTACTTCCACTCCCTTCTTCCTTCCCTTTATCATATAGTGAAGGTATGGAAAGAGCAAAGGCTGTGAGTGTGAAAGTTATTTATAAGCCCCATTCTTACACTTGGCCATTCTTTTGGTCAGTGGTAAAAGTGGTATTTTCCATGTTCAGGATGCCATGATTTTATTGCAACACTAAGAAAACGCATGTAAGATAATTGCAAGATAGCTGTAGATAGTCTCGCCAATATACATACAATTATTCAATACTTATATTTGAACTGTGATAACCCTGGCACTAACATGGTGAATGAAACAGTAGTAGTTTCTGCTTCCATAGGCCTTATATTAGTTAATAGTTAATAAGTACAA